AATACACAAATCTTAAATAGGCTAACATGGTCCTACCCGCCTTCTACCAACCTGGATAACCATTCTTGTCGAAGTCGATGCCTCTGGAGAGACCCATTCCAAAGCCCTTCATATTCTGGGGGAAGTCTTGAGGCTGAAGTTTCTGGGAGTATGCTTGTCTCAAACCAGAAGCGGACCCGAGGTAAATGTACACAGCGCCATCGCCTTCCCAAGGAGCACCTATCGCCACGTCTGGGTGAGGCGTGAAATAGAGTTAAGATAAGAGATGTATGAGGCGGAAAAAGGTAATTACGTCAGTGTTGAACGGTATAATTGGTCAGATCATTACCGTGGGTTTCTATAAAGAGGGCAACATAAAAAAGTGAGAAAATCTTGACCAGTACTGATAAAAATGATCGGAAGTTTTAGATAGGTTCACAAACGGAAATAGCTTAACACGCGTTTTACATACGGATATAATGAGTCCCAATCTTATAAACGGATATAGTGTTGTAATTTTACACATCGAGACAGAACAATTTCCTCTACATTAAACAAGATGGAACGCAATGCATAACAAAATGCTAGGAACATAGCAAAGTGGAACACCATACTTCGCGTTCATTGACCTTACTTTCATACCAGTCATACACTTAATAAAAAGGAACACTAATGCCTCGTGTTCTCAGATCTCACCTTCATACCCGTCCGCGTTGAGGTCCCCGATACGCGCCAGACTCGTGCCGAACCTGGCGAAGCTCGTGGTGGACCCGTGGTATCGGTAGTCGGAACTTATCAACTGCTGATCCTGTTGCAGAGATACGTTTTTTTTTTAGTATTTCATTAAAGAAATAAGAAACTTTCATCGACTTCACTCTTTCAGATTGTCATGAATGACTGAGTTTTTTTTTCTTTATAGAAAACGGGAGAAAACATATAAGCACTTCAATATTTTATGGTTAACTATTAAATAACCCCCTTTCACAAAACAAAAAAAATGGTTTTACTCTTATTTTTGGAAGTTATAGTTAATCAGCATGGTAATCCGATGAATACATATCCTAAAATAATTTTGATGAGCCATTAGCCATCAAAATCACGGGAAACTTCAGGGACCTCCGTGTATCAAGCAGGAAAATCACACACAACTTCACCAGCCTTGTGATAGCATCCTAAATCGTCAACCCTCTCTTATTTCTAACTAACCTGTGAAGAGAGGAACACTTGTACTCTTCCTGCATCCGGCTTGTCCTTCAGGGAGTGCATGGGCGCCCCGACAATCAGGTCGCTGAGGCCGTCTCCGTTGACGTCAGCAGCGACAAGGGAGGCACCGAAGTTTTCCCCGAGTTGCTTTCCTTTCCACTCGGCCAGGACGGTGAGGGGCTGAGACTGCCAGTCGGGGAACGAGAAGACGATCACCTGCGGAATGAATAGTCTTTAGGATTCTATAAACTGTTTTTGTTTATCTATTTATTAATATATATATTAATGTTATCATTGTTTTTTTGGAGGGGTGACTCATCCATATCATACAGTAAATGCTACATAATATTATCTAGAATAAATCTATAAAAATATCGAATTTATCTGCATCATGTTCTTTAAAAATGTAAACAAATGAGAATAAAAAATATCTCTTCCCGAAAGGCCCCACCTTGTATTAATGGTGGTATGCACGTCCAAATGTGTTCTCAGACCAACTGGCCGAAAATACATATCTTAAGTGTTTTGTTAGCTTAAACTTTTGTCTGTAATACAAACATCGATATACACACGTTCATGCATTCTGTATAATGATTTGAGCGTATCAACGTGAGCATACCGATGCATATATTATAAAAGAAAATATGAACTGACCTTCCCGTGCGACCCTGCCCCTCGAGGAGCACCGCCCACATACAGGAGCTCGTCCTTTGACCTGAACCGCCCCGAAGTCACGGAATACCCCATAAGATCGAAGTCCTCCATGGCAGAGGTGTAGTACGGGTTAGGTACGAATTCCCTCGAGAACATCTGGTTTTCTGGTATTTCTGGTCTGGTCTGTCGTCTGCGCCTCGCTATACCCCCTACGTGTTGGATGTACGTGTCCTTGAAGCGGATGATGGTTCCTGAAGGAGGGGCGAAGGTGGAAGGAAATTTAGAGCTGGTATTTTGGTAACTATTTGCTTGGTATTGACTCTGTGGTATTTTGTACAAGGAAAATAGGCAGACGATAATGATAATACGGATGATTATCACTATCATCGTCGTCGTCACCGTCATTATCATCATAATAATAATGATAATGATGCTGTTGATGCTAATGGCTATAACAGTAACAATAATAATGATGATGATGATAATATTAATAATAATATTGATAATAATAATACATAATAATAAGTTATATTAATGCTGATGACGATGATGACAGTAATAATGATAATGATGATAGCTAGGATGATATTAGTAATGATATCAACGATAATGGTAATAATAATGCAAATAACATTAATAATAATAATAATAATGATAATAATAATAATAACGATAATGACACTAATATTAATGATACTGATAAGGATGATAATAACAATAATGATGATAATGATGATAATAATAGCAACAATGATAATAACTATGATAATAATAGCATTAGTGATAACAATAGTAATAATTCTCGTAATGGCAGCAATAGTGATAATAACAATAATGGTAATAATAATAACAAAAAAAAGCGTAATAAAATAAAACAATAAAATAACAACAATAAAAAATATAACAATAACAATGATAATAATAAATTGAAAACTAATGATAATGAGGATAATGAAAAAAAAAACTATAACGGTAACAAAACAAAGACCGTTAGAGGACACTAAGAATGGACAAAGTACAACCATAAAACCGTGTAAATCCCAAATGCTCGATAATACATTCTTACCAGCATAGAGGTACATTCAAAAAAAGTTTTCGCCATTCAAATGCATTCAACTCAAGTTACAAACACGCAAAAAAGAAGGGAAAAAAAAAGCTAAAGAACAAGTGCTATTCACTCCTAAAAGGATTTAAAACCCTTTTACCCTTCCCAAAGCTCAACTGTAGATCTGTCAGTGTATGCTATAAACGCCATGACTGTGCAAACGGGCCGTGGCAACATGACAGCGGCTGTATAGGCAACGCCACTCACACAGACTGTCGCTAGTGATAATCCTTTGGCATGTCAACAAGCCCATGAACTCCCTTTTTACAGTCTGTTTTTCTTATTCTATTGGTTGTATTTTCCTTTCTAACTACCGTTTACAAGCTCAGTGTCTACCTTGTAGTGCTGTTCGGGCAATTCCCAGGAATGGAGCTGCCAAATAGTGGATTGAAAAGAGCGTTATGGTAGTAGTTTCGTATTGGATTTAAATCGAATGTGTTTAACCGTCTCGCATTTGCAAGTCACACCCAACGCGCCACTGTGTTGAGGAGCTGTGCAGTGGCGCCGTGGATATTCTTAATTGTGTGTGTAAATTTTGCCTCATCAGCTTCAATTTTGTTAATAATAGTAACTAGTCTTGTGATCTTTGAATATTCCGACATGCTGGAGACATAACTATTATCCTTGGTGAATATCACATTTCACATAATCACTTAATTTGAAATTTCCTACGAGGCTAAATGAATTCTATATCATTTAAACTCCCAAATTACAAATAAAAACTATTACAACTTAAATTTGAAAATATAAGTCAAGTACTCTGCAAAACACACACGCGTATGCTTCCATGATTTTACTCGGGCGGAATCGATAACACGTATCACATATCGAGTAACAATGCGAGTTAATTGACGAGTCAGCACCACGACAGTCAGACAGAATAGCAAACGCTGAAGCATCTCTCAGCCTCGCCAGGTGGGCTAAAGGTCAGCTGAGAGAGCCATTGTTACCAGATCGTCGGCAGCTGTGCAGGCCCCTCCCCTCCTCCCAACCGGTGGCGTGATGCATTATGCTTTAAGTAACTATATATGTCATGTACAGGCACGCCTTTCCTATCATATCTGACATTTTTAAAGCGGTCTGCTGGTAATTATTTTTATTTCACATCTCTCATTAATTGTGCGGAAGGGATGGGAAGGAGGAAATGGATGGAATGATAGCCTTAAATGTTAAAGCCGGAACAGATGACGAGCGGGACAAACTCGTTCGGGAGGGAATTGCATGGACGCGAACAGCCGTTGCAAATCCGGACGGTCTCGCATTTATCGATCGCTTGAATTAGAAAAAAAAAACAAAGCACACGAACGGAATTTTAGCAGCGACGCGCCGACGTGAAACGTATATATCAACACCGCCCTTCATTAGAGCTTACCGCGTACACTAACTAAATATAAATGTGACCCTTATGTGTCCTTTATCGTTGATTACGCCTTTTTATTAGCGTAGGCGTAAATCAACGAGATGATTCGCCGAGGGATAACAGATTCTATTGATCAATACAGGCTGATTACCAGGGATCCGAGGGCACGGTGTTGTCTTCGCTAGCAAGTAGTGTTTACAAGCAATTGGTTCAAAGCATAAAAAAAGCTCAACGTTACTTTTCTCACTCTACTAACTCCTTAAGAAAACTGAGTAGAAGAAAGAATGGTTTGAGAGAGAGAGAGAGAGAGAGAGAGAGAGAGAGAGAGAGAGAGAGAGAGAGAGAGAGAGAGAGAGACGGGGGGAGGGGAGGGAGAGTACCATCGCACTTTCGACGTGGTGACGCAATGCATTAGGCGTGTGAACATAAGTAATAGCCAGTTGTCGCTGAATCTACGGTAATATTAAATATCTATATTTAGACATTTTCACACACCCCCCCACAAAAAAAGAAAAGAAGTGAATACCACAGAATGTACAGAAAATTAATATCACCAAGAATATCTTACAGTATATTCGACACTTGCATATTACAACAGAAAAAATACACACACCAACAACGAGGAAGATATCTGTGAGAGAAGCAGCTGTGACAACAACCGCAAAAAACGATTTGGTCCTAATTCGAGAATACATTATA